CCTAAGACTCGCCGTTCGCTGTTCGTCGAGTTCGCAGTAGCGATCTGTTCGACGAAGGGGTGGAATCAGCTCAGCATCGCCCGATGCCAGCAGTGTTGGTCAGCGCATCCCTTCGTCTTCGGATTCTGGAGTTCGAATGGACCGCCGCGTCGAAGAGAGGTCGAAGAAAGAGAGAGTGGAGAGGAGAGAAATGAGAGATGTCGAGAGGAGGGAGAGAAATTATATTAGGGCTTGGGTGGATACCTGAATTTTGATTAAAAAATTTTCTCACTTGATTTTTGCATTGTGATTTTCAAATACCTAGAATTATCTAATTTCCTCATTAAAGTCGCACTTCTTAAATGTGATCTCATTTGATCAATTATTGGATCCTAGTTATTGTGCCTCATATTTGAAGTTATTGGGCAACACTTTCCAACTGGGCCAAGCCCGTTCTCATTATTGCCTTAATAGTTGGGACGGACCTGACATCATAGCCCAACAAAATGAAAACTTTTGGGTACTCTCCTTAGATGAATGCACTGCCAATGTAGACTCTCAAACAACTTCTAAACTATAGAAAGACACTGGAACAGGGCTGCACAAAAAAAATTGCAAAATCGCAAACCTAATTGACCGTTGGTTTGAGTTCATTTGGAGTTGTGATTTTTTTTCCCTCAATCGAATCAAACCGTTTCAAAATTGTTTAGTTTAGATTTCAATTTTCAAAAACTGCACAAAATCGAACTAAAACGAACTTTTAAAAAAATGTAATTAAAAAAATCAATTCATTAAATTATAAATTTTCAGATATAAATTTTATTAAAGTACAAAAATATCTAGAGTTTTCAGAATTTTCAGCCCAAATTCAATTTGTTGGTTTATTTATTTATTTTTTGTTCAAGCCCACTTAAAGTATTCAGTCAATTCCATTTAAACCCACAAATATTTTTCTTCAACCTAAGGCATTGAATTGAAATCATATTGTTCGCTAAAATTATATACCGCAAGTGCACAGGTCGTGTTCAAGTAATAAAGTAAACATTTTGAATCCGAATTGTCGATCTCTCGAGAAATGTTTATTTTTAATTACACAACTGTAATCAATTTAATTTTAACAATAAGAGTAAATACACAATAAAATTTGATATTGGAAATTAAGGAAAATTAACTAAAAACCTATGAAATAAGAAAACATACACACTTGAAAATGTTGGAAGAAAAACGTGGTTGAGATTCATAACTATCGCCTAATTAATTTCTCCACAAGCCAATTAATAAATTACTCATTTACGTTGTTAGACCTGATTTTTCAAGTTTAGTTAATAACCTCTCTCGAGCATAATTAATCCTAATTAATTTGTTTAACATACTATATCTCTATATTGATTTAAATCAAACAACCACATTAAATATTTGTGAAAATAATTCAATTGATCATCTAGGGTTATGAGTATATTTCTATCCCCTACACAAATCTAGAGAATTTACTATTTGATCTAAAATATATAATGTTCTCTCGAACGATATACAAATCACTAAACTCAATACTACACAGAGTATTTACTATTTGGTCTAAAATGTTTAATCTTCTCTCGAACGAGATACAAATCACTAAACTCAATCATTTAATGGCCAAATAAATGAAAAGCATTCAACACAATAATAAATACACATAAAAATAAACATTTTAACATTAAAAGGTAAAAATTGAAATTAATACAAGTTAGGTTAAGTTTCCACCATAAATCACAATAATAAAATTTAGCACATGTTATATAAATGATAACAAATGAGAATATTTATCTAATACAATGCAAATGATAGAAAATAATAAAGAAAATACAAAATTAAAGATAAAACCCTTTTTGGATGGATTTGCTTGAATCTTGATTCCTCCACTTCTTCTCCACTTTTTCTTTGATTTATTCTATTTCTTGTCCTCTTGATTTTGTCCTCAAAGTACCAAGAAAAAGAAGAAAGAAGAAAAATTCAAAAAATGAAGAAGTTGCTTCCCAACCTTTTTGTAACATGTAAGGTTTTGAAATTTTATAACTAATTTTCCAAAATTTGCAGCATTGGTCCCTGAATTTTAAAAAACAATTAAAACGACCATCAGGTGAAAGTCAAATCCTTTCCTTTTTCATTTTGCTGTCAAGTCCTCCGGTTAATTGCACAATCGGTTCCAAAACTTTGATCTTGTACATTTTGGTCCTCCAATTTTGATTTTCATTTCGATTATGCTATCCATAAATTGCAACCCAAGGTCCTTCAACTTTTTGATTTGTGCACTTTGGTCACCACTTCATAATTTTGCACACTTTTAATCAATTTTTCCTCATTTTATCTTGTTTTCTTTCATTTGGGTGACTTTTACATATAAAAGCAATTATTACATAATTGCGAGTAGACATTCGCTCATTTTTATCAATAATAAGTATATTTATGTATTAAATAAATGTGTATAAACACACTTATCACATACCTCAATTTTTTCTTCTCTCGTGACTCGTCCTACAGCTGCCACATCCATGAGGTACTCTGTTTGTTTGTATTTTTTTCTTGTTTGAATTCATAATTCTAGTTCCCTCGAATCTGATTTTTACTTTCTCAATGATGTATTGGGTTTTTGGTTGATCCTCTATTGTATAAAAATGTGATCAACTGAATCTGATAGGTTAATAGCAGAATTTTATTTCAAGGAAATTGAATGCGAGCAAGTACAAAATTATCTCCAAAATTGTTGAAGATATATTAACAATTCAAATATCCATGGTCGCTTTGAAGTCAATATTTTCCACAAGCGGTCGGTTTTTTAATTCCTTTAGGAGTTCATTGGGTGCAAAAATGGTTGAGATCTTAATATGCACGAAGAATTGGTCGTATTGCAATAAGGAATTTATAGTATTTCGTCAATATTTGGATGAAATAGATACATTGGATGACTTTGAGAAAGCTACAAAAAGCATATTATTTTTAATCGCTTGTCAATATCATTAATAAGGACTAATATGGATATTTTGATATTTGCATATTATACAGAGATCGAATAATGTGTTACAATAGGAGATATTGATCCAATTATTACCAAATGAGATGTTAGAACGCAATTTTTATACTCCTGTACCTCTTCTGATATTGTTACTTGTAAAAGTTTGAATGGAGAAAGCTAATGGCTTCTTCTTAGATGCTAACTTGCTTCTATTTTTTTGTCTTTTTATTTGTATTTCAAATTTCAAACAAATATGAATGTAATTTAACGTTGAAAACTATTAGTTCTCGTTTAAGCTTGTATGTTAACTTATTTTAAATATATTACTATAATGTTGATAGATAAATCATGGACTAAAACCGTGTCAAACTGCATAATGGCTTGGTTTGGAAAAATTCTAAACCATTTGAAATGGTTTGAGTTGAAAATATGGTACAAACTGTCCAAATCAAACCACGTTCACCCCTACACTGGTAAGATTGTTCAGTTTCTGAGATTTTACATCCCTGTTCTTGCAACATTCATTTAGATCATATTCAGTCCTCGAGGGAGGGAGGAACATGCTTTAGACCTTCAGTTCACTAAACATGCAAATATTATTTAAGAAAAGCGATGCATAATTCACCACGCCAGTGTTTCAACTTCCGAACCTGTAATATCTGTAAGACAAAATCTATAAAGCACCATAGTTTCTGTGCTTTAAAAGAGTTCTTTTTCTAATTGAAACACCTTACGAAAAGAGTGAAAAATTCGAAAATGAAAAAGTATTTTTGTGACCTATTGACTGTTATACAGCGTGAAGGACTCTTACTGTCTTACAGCATGATTGTTATGGTGGATTAAACTAATATGATATAATACTGTATACTAAACATGCTCCTTCTATATACACGTATCATTAATTGATTGTGGTATAAAATTACATGGTTTGATGAGATTAGTTTGTCGATAATGAAGAACTTGCATCATTTTAAGCTATTTTCTGCATCTCCTTTGTAGGTTGAACAAGGAAATTCACGTGTAAGACTGTGCAATGAATCCTCGAAATTCTCGTGTTTTCCAGGGCTCCAACAATGTAATTTCCTGTTGACTAACGATATTCTCACTATCCCCCACCTACTGTCCTTCTAAAAGTCGAAATCACAGTCAAGAGCACGAGTTTGACAAAATGAAATAGAGTAGATTTTAGGCAGGAAAACATTGGCACACCATACGTAGGGTGGAGCCTTCGTCTAGACTGCCACAAGTCAATCCTGTCTCTCGTCGTTGACCCGCGTGTCTTATTTCAACAGCATCAAGGATTTCAAAACATGGGAGTCGCCAAATTTGATTTGTTTTGCCATTTCTCTTTTTGTTTTTATATGTTTCTTGTTTACCTTCAATATTTTTGACCTTCCAATTCCACAAAAGTGTTCTTGTCTGCGCACGCGTGAAAGAGAATCTGAAGAATCATAAGAATATAATTTTTCCACATAATAACTGGAGTGAATAGCATAATTTTTTTCAGTTGGAGATAAGAATACTACAGCTACAAGTTTTTGTTAAGGATGCGTGTGATTGATATTATTGAGAAAACAATGTATTTTAAACAGTGATATGATATGAAATATGTGATTAAAAAGTATGGAAAAATTATTGATACGATGGAAAATAGTATTTTATTAAAAAAATGTGTGGTTGAAAATAAATTATGAAATAATGTATTTTGAAAGAAGTGTGTTAAACATGGCTACTCAATCGTACAATAGTACACAACCCCTTCACTGGTTTGGAATCCTGGTTGATTCAAGCCGAAGTAGCTGAGTTTATTGGAATTTAGTTCTTTCTAGTTGAAGATAATCAATCCAAACTTTATATTTCAACACTGTTTAGCAAATTTGCGTAACACGGTTTACTTCTTGCTCGTTTGAGACTGTACACTACTAGAATGTGAAGAAAAAAAAAGCCAATATTTGTCTATAACATAGTCGAGTCTTGTAATTTCGAGTTTCGGCATAGCCATAAATATACAACAGAATCCTTCGATCCTCTACCATTTTTCTGCCCGAGTATTTTGTTGAAGAAACTGTCCCGAAATGGCAGCTGCAAGTGCTGATTTGAAATTGGGATCTTTTGTTAAGGTAGAAGCCATTTGTTCCACTAGATACTGTTGGTATTGTGGTGTACCCATTTTTCTGTTTGAATCAGTAGCTAGCTTTGGTTTTGTAACATCAAGTGTAACGGTCTGTGCGGATGAACTTAGAGAAGTCGTCGGGCAAGGGACCGTGCCAAGTGTGACACCACGGCTGGAGCCAGAAGTGGGCTCGGGTTTCGAGGGGTGAGGATGGTTGTGCTCTCCCTCATAAGTTGCTACTAGAATAGATTGATCCTCTATACTTCTTTGAACCTGCAGAAAGATCACGAAACAAAAAACCTTAGAAATCTAAAAACTAGAGAAATTAAAAATTCTTGAAAAGGATTAATCTTTTTCGATTTAAACAAAGTAAAAATCTGTTTGATTATAGTGTTCAATCCTACCTATTATTGGGTACCAAACATTCTTTAATTACATACCTTCTTTTTTACTGGACAGCTTGGAGCAAACGAGCACTTGAAATAAGCTCTCGGACAAGGATTGTCCCTGGTAACCTTCTGTCCATACTTCCTCCATAGATATCCATCTTTAACTATCTGTAATTTGAATAAAACAGTTTTTAAGTACAGGAAATAGATTGAATATACGGACTACTTCGCAGATAACATTAATCAGCTTATAAGTTATAATGTTTATAGAGCATGTTCCACACACTTTACTGGACAGTTTCATACACAATATTTTAACCTTTTTTTTTTTTTTTCTTTCATATTTATGAGAAGTTTCTAAGAAGTGAGATTGACTTATAATTACTTACAAGGCTTGTATCAGATGCTTCAGTTCGTACGCAGGCACGCGAAATCTTTGGTTTGATGTGTTCTTCCCTTTGTTTCTTACATGAATCTTCATCACTTGAACTGCTCTCAGAAGGGCCATTGGTTCCACCAGTATTGCCATTGTTGTTGCTGCTTTCAGCTTTCCTTTTTCTTGATGCATCATTATCCACTACAGAATTTTTGCTTATGTTCATTACACGGTGTCGCAATTCGTTGTAATTCTCACACATCACTGTTAATAGTTCTGTCAGCTTCTTGTTTTCAGCATTCACCCGATTTAGTTCCTCTATTAATGCACCTCTCTGAGGAAAAAAAAATGTTAAGAACTCCATTTTTCATCTTTCTTGAATTGTGGAACAGTTTGTGTGTGTGTGTTTATGTTTTAATAAGCTAAAATCATGATAAAAATAATCACCTCTTCTTTCACTGTAATATTTCTTCCCAACTCAATAAAATCACTTGGCACCTCTTGTTTCTGAAACAAAAAAAAAAAGCTCGATTAGCACAAGGAATGTCTTGGAGATAGGATCGACTGAAAAAAAACACTCGAATAACTAATAATTTATCTGCCAACAGATTCCTGAAAAGCCGAAAACTAAGTTCATGTTTGGTACATAAGATTAACCGCACACAGCTCAAAAGGCAAGATTTTAACACCTGTTTCTATCCAATCCTCTCTACCAAACATGGCATAAGTACGGTATATATAGTTTTAAAGCTTCACATACCCGCAGCAGTGGGGCCTCGTCGAGAATTCTTTGTGGTTTGGCATTAAGATCCAACGAAGTATTCAGCAGACTAGTGAATTCCATGGCTTCTGATACTGAACTATTGCAAGTTTTCCAAAGCGCCTCAATTTCTTCAGAAAATTCTCTCAAATTGGTCAAGCTTCTGTGTTTATCTAATGTTTGAAGCAAAATCTAATGAAGAGAAGATGTATATATAATACATAGAACTTATCAAGTTGTAGGAAGGTAGAGAGGAAGATGAAGAGTATTTGATAAAATATTCTAATTAATAATCCTATTTTGTCATTTATTTATAGCTGAAATGGAACTCAAAGTTGGTCGTCGGTAGGAAAAGTAAAAGGTTGGTTCGTTGATTGCTAGAAAGTTGGGATTAACTGTTAACTTATTTTTAAAATCACTTATTTTTACTAAACGAACTTTCAATAGAAAATAATCAAAGACGGATATACTTTTAAGAAAATTAAAGTTGAAATACAGTTAAGGCCCGTTTGATTGATTTAAATTCCATGAAAAATATCACATTCGGGGAATTCAATTTCTACTTTGGCTGTTCGATACGAAAGTGGAAATGAAGTTCGAATTCTAAAGTGCAACCACTATAAACTTCTTTTTTGCCACTTGAATTTTTATTTTTCAATTTACATAAAATTGTAAAACATTTTCACATTTGTCAATCAAACGGATCCTTAAAGTATTACTTTGAGTCGCACTTATTCTCACCAAATGCGACTTTTAAGTACAATTAAACATGTTCTGATTCATGTAAGTTGCAATGAGAAGGTACATAGCGCATTGAAATAAAAATAAAAATAAAAATAATTTTAAATATGGGAAATTATTTAAGAGAAGATTAAAGTAACTCAAATATGATTAAAAAAAGACTTGGAAAACTTGAGAGTTGAAATTCTTTGGAGAATTCAAAGTCAAGCCCACCTTTGGTAGGAAGATGACGACCACGTGCGTACCTTGTATTATGTAGTTGAACTCCTATATTGACCAATCTTCTCATGTCTTTATCCATAATATTAATATTAATATGTCAGTTTCAGTGGACCAGGACCAGACAGACCAGTAAATTTAAGTGGTATAGGTTGCATCTTAGTCACGTTTGTACTCGTGTTTCATGCTATTTTATATTTTAGTAGTGGAAGAAATTTGTTACATCGCGTACGCGGTTCTCACCCTGCAACGTGACGGTATGCTCTGATTTAAATACAAGTTTAAAATATTTAATTGTTACATTTGATTAAATGTTCTTGTATTGATAAAGTAGATGTAGTTGGAATTAGGTTTGTTAAACAAAAACTATGGAGTTGAAAAATTGAACTAAATTCGTCAATTTTGTGCTACGTGAATATGTCGATAAAATTGTTTTGATCTAAGGCTATATTTGATAGCACATGTTTTCTACGGAAGTTTGAAAGTTTTTTCAATTTTTCACAAAATGCATTGTTTGATGACAAAATTTTTCAGGTAAAATTTTTTCTTCTTTACTTCACCCACACTCCTGATTTCCTGGAAATGTGAGAAAAGGTTTTCTTTTTATTTTTGTGGGAAATGATTTTCCAAGTTCTTCTCTTATTATTATTATTATTTTGGCAATGGAAACAAATTATATACACAATGGTAAAAAAATTAATCTCTTTTATTGATAATTTTCATACAAAACAAAGCAAAACAAATGGTATTCGATATGGTAAATTTTTTTCAATTTTTTTTGACAATTGGAACAAATTCTAGACCCAATGGTAGAAAAAATTATCATTTTAATTGACAATTTTCATTAAAAAAAGGAAATCAAACGGACACCAAAGTTCGACAATTTTAAGGTGGAAAATTATATCAATAAGACACAATTAATTACAATTTTCAGTAAAATAATTTCTAGACAATTCAATTTCCTTTAAAATATTTTCTTTCCATCCATTTTTCACATTTGTAATCAAAAGGAACCTAATATAAAAGTTCTAAAACGACTTGGTTTAAGTTTAAAAGTATTAATTGAAACCAAAAATTGAAAATTAAATTTCTACTTGATAAATTACAATCTTAACCTCTAAATAAAATATGATTATTAATATTTTAATACAAAAATGGATAATTTGGTCAAGTATCCATTACCAAATATCAGTAATTCTCCTAATTTCACAACTTTCATAGACAATTAGTCCATACGGTATGGACCAAAGTCGAAACCCTCTTTATCTTATGTCTTCACACAGCAAACACTCAAAACCAAGAATAGAGATGGCAATTTTTCTCGCCCCGTCCCTGCGGGGCCCCGCCCCGAACTGGTTGGCGGGTTGAGGTTCGCCGCCCCATCGCGGGTCGTGGGGCCGGGCGGGGCAGAGATGCCTCGTCCCGAACCCGTCCCGTGAAGAATTTAAAAAAAAAATTGTTTTGGACATTATTTTGTTTCAAGTGCTTTCTTTGAATATTGATATAGTTAGTTTGAATATTATTTGTTTTGAATTTGTATTTTAAATAAAAAAAAAAACAAATGGGGCAAGAAACTGGGCAAGTTCTCGCCCCGTACCCGCCCCGTTTAAGGCGGGGTGGGGCGCGTGGTGCAGTGAGGGTGCCCCGCCCCGAACCCGCCACATTGCCATCACTAGCCAAGAAGCTCCCCTACATTGATATTGGCATTTTCACTCTCAAGTCAACGAAACGAGTATGCTAATGATTTTATTGTCACTTTCCTTCAATTTTATTGGTATTTAAATTTAGAATTTTAAATTATTTGCTTATGTTTGAATTTTTTTCAAACCATTTTAAACGATTTTGTTTGCAAATTTGTCAAAAATAAATTTAATCAAACCACGTACACTCCTAGTCCTAGTTGAAAATATGACTAACATGAACTTTTAGATTGACTTGAAACAAATCCAAGCCAAAAATGGAAGACAATATTATGCATTAAGTTTGGTCTTAAGGCATATTATGAAAATATAGTCGATCGATATCATATACTATTAAACTATTTTTTATTCAAACATTTCGAATGATCCACAAGTACTATCAACCGATACACCACATATTTCTACTTATTTATAAACACTTGACAACATAGAATTTCTCGATTATAAAAAATTAACTATGTATCATTCATTACTCGTTGATATATCATGTGTTTAGAGGAGAAAAAATCATAAGGAGTCACCAATCATTCATTAAATATATGGTAAGTAGCCAAGATATTGACGATTAAGTCAAAATTGTGCTAAATGTTTTCATATACAATCTTAGGCATCGAGACTCTTCAATAGTCCCACATCAACCTAGTATTACAATTGATAGACTTATTTCGTAGAAACGATTATTTAACGTGAAAAGTAAGAGCTAAATATCTATATGCATGACACACATTTCAAGGACTTATTTTGTGGAGGCATCGAGTCTCTTCAATTGTCCCACATCAACCTAGTATTAAGATTGATAGACTTATTTCGTAGAAACAATTGTTTAACATGAAAAGTAAGAACAAAATATCTATATGCATGATACACATTTCAAGGACTTATTTTGTGGAAACAAATAATGCTACCATTTCTAGGACATCAACCTAGTGCTACGATTTGGTAGAATTTGTTGGAAATGGTTTATTAACTAGCTCCAATTTAAGTGGGATCCGTACTTCGATTTTAACAAATTCAAACATATTCACATTCTACTCCGCGAGGTGATTAACGTGATATATTTATTTATCGAAAATCATTTAGAATTGAATGAAATATTTGATATCAAAGTAATCCACTTAAAACTATATACTAGCGAAACAATTGATTTATTGAAAATTATCAAACGCTTATCCTACATAGGAAAGTTAAGAAACTTTTATATGGTTTATATAATGGAAGTTTGGGAATTAGTTTGGACCCCAAGGGGTACCAATAGTTTTTGGAATGGGTAGACCTATATCCTATTGGGTTATGTCCTAAGTTCACACGCGCACACCTTTGTTCGGCTCAGCTTGGCAATAGCACGTGTTCGAGTCTGATTCGGGTGCGAGTGAGTTCTTGTACTATGTTAATTTTTTGAACAGTCTGTTAACCGACAAAACATACGCATTATTTCATACTGAACAGTTATGTCTGTTCGGTCCTAAGCCCACACGTGTGTGCTGTTGTCCAGCTTGAACCGACAAGAGCACGTGTTCAAGTCCGATTCGGGTGCGAGTGGGTCCTGTACTATGTTAACTTTTTGGACAGTTTGTTACCAACATGACAACCGCATTATTTCATATTGAACAGTGTTGTCTATTCGGTCCTAAGCCCACACGTGAGTGCCGTGTCAGTGTTTGTATATTCGAATTGTTTGAAGGAGGAATTTATACGCAAGAAACAACATAATTATTTTGTAGCAACAATTTTTTTAACATGAAAAGTAAGAACTAAATATCTACATGCACAATACACATGTCAAAGACAATTCAAGTCAATTGCTGTTTAATTAGCACGGCCACCAATTAAATCACTCATTATAAATATGCTACAACAATGACCATCAGTAGCCAAGCTATTGATGCTTAAGTCAAAATTGTGCTAAATGTTTTCTTATACAATGTGACTTAGGCATTGGAGTGTCTTCATCGTCCCGCGATTATCCAATATGAAAATTAAGAACTAAATATCTGTATGCATGATAAACATTTCAGGGATACTTAATGTCTATCGTTATTTACAATACAGTCACCAATTAAAACATTCATTATTAATATCTGTACGCACGATAAACATTTCGAGGACACTTCATGTCAATCATTATTTAATTAACATAATCGCCAATACACCAATCATTCATTAAATATATGGCAACAATAACCATATGTAGCCAAGCTATTGACGATTAAGTCAAAATTGTGCTAAATGTTTTCATATACAATCTTAGGCATCGAGACTCTTCAATAGTCCCACATCAACCTAGTATTACGATTGATAGACTTATTTCGTAGAAACGATTGTTTAACATGAAAAGTAAGAGCTAAATATCTATATGCATGACACACATTTCAAGGACTTATTTTGTGGAGGCATCGAGTCTCTTCAATTGTCCCACATCAACCT